ACTGAGGGCTCATAAGATCAAGCACCAGCCCCAGAAATATTTATTAGTTTTGGTCAGAACCAAGCTGAAGGTATGTCTATTGAGTCTGTATTAAATGTATTAATACTGGAGTGGTTAGGAAAAGGAAAGAGCTGGAGACAAGATTTCTGGGGTAACAGATTGTTGGATGAAGCAGAGAAGTTGCCTCAGAATCATAAGGTATATTTATCCAGCATATGGAGTGACCCTCCCCGAATGGGTCCTCAAACTTGTGTTAGTGGGGCTCATGCTAGTGCTCTAAAAATAGTTGCTCAGACTTTGCTTTTGTGTTGTGGTTCAAGCAGGAGCTCAGGTTCTTAAATCCAATCCCTGCTTTCCACAGGCTTAGAGTCCAAGTTCCAGCCCCAGTTGTGATGTTTACATAGCTAATTTTAGACAGCTAGCCCAAGTTTGTGGAGTCAGGCAGAGAGGCTCACTCACAGATGCAGGGTAGGCTCATTCTTAGAGGCAGAGATACCAGTGAGAGAAAAAGAGCAAAAGGACCAGAAAATGAGCCTTTTGCTGGCCCGCCATGGGAATTCCCTACTACTCAAGTCAACAATTGTTCACTTTTTACCTCATCCTGTGTTTCCTGCACTTCATAAGCATGCAATGGGGGACTGCTAGAATCAGCACTGGTTTTGGTTTTATTTTGTATGGGTCAGTAGCGAAGTGGCTCTTTTTTGTTATTTGATTGTTTTTACTTTCTTGTTCTATTATTTTTATGCAAGGTCACCGTATCTACAGCCTAGTGTAAACTGTAGAGTAATTTATTATTTGCTTTTTCTAATATGTTTCAAATGGAAACTGGGAACTTTTTTGTGGTGGATGAAATTCCATCTGGGGGGGAAATAGCTAAAAAAGAGAGAGATTCTGAAACAGAAGACAATACAATACAACTGTAAACTAAGTTGATAGGGATTCCTATAGAACAGGGGTTGGCAAACTATAACACTTGTGCCACTTATGGCACGCAAGCTGATTTTCAGCAGCATGCGGGAGGAAGCTCAGCCCCACCTCTCCTCCCCCACGCAGCCACTCGAGAGCGCTCCCTCCTCCCTGCAGCAGGTTAACGGAGGTGCCGCTGCCATGGCCACGCAGTTCGGGGCCAACCCCAGAGGTGCCACTGCCACAGCCACGCAGTCCATGGCCAACCTGGGACTACATGGCAGTGGCAGTAGTATCTCTGGCCTCCGGAGCTGACCTGGAACTGCATGGCAGTGGCAGCAGCACCTCCGGCCGACTGTGTCAACTGCACCAGCAGAGGCTCTGGAGCCGGGGCTGGACCATATGGGCCCCAGCAGCAGGGTCTCCCTCCGGGTCAGCCAGGACAGCGTGGCTGTGGCTGTTGCTACCAGGGGACACAAAGCCAGGTAAGGTTCTCCCCCATGCCCAGAACCCCAATCCCCTCACTTTTCTCCCTCCACCCCCAAGACCTGGCACCTCCAGTTTGCTCTGACTCTCTTCTTTATTCCTGCACCCTCTCTCCTGGCCAGACACCCCACCCCTGCTCCTTCATCCACATTGCTTCTGCACCCTCTTTTCTGGCCACCCACTGCACCCTCCCTGCTCCTGCTCCCTCCTACTCCCAGCCTGCTTCTGCACCCTACCCAGACCTAACAACTTCTCCCTCTTTCTGCACTCCCTGATCCTGAACCCCAACCCTATCCTACTTGCTGTCTTGCATACTCATTTTTGTCCCTACCTCAGAGCCTAAGGAGGTCCATAAAATCCACTCTCTCTGGAATATCAGAAAAGTAAATCTGGTCTATGGGAAGCCCTGAACCTCAGTCCCCCTGCCCTTCCTTTCCCCTCTCTCCCTGAGGCTGGGGCACCAGAGGAGTGAGGTGTCTCAATTGGGGCCACATCAGTGAGCATTGGGGTTTTAGGAGGAGTTCTTTTGCTTCTCACTTGTGTGGTCCCCAACTGATTTTTGACCCCCGACACAAAAAGCATTCCTCACCCCTACCATAAATAAAGAAAGCATTGAAACCTTTTGTGCTGGACTTAATATTTTTCTTTATTTAAAATGAAGTTTGATAAACTAAATGAGAAAGTTAAAATGATCAATCTTTTTCATAATGGTTTAAATTAAACCATTCTCCCTAGCTGCAGCTGGTTCAGAAAATAAGGTCACTGTACCCAGTCTGATCTTGCCTCCCCTCCTCCCTTTTTCCCCAGGCACACAGATCCGTGAATCAGTTAAATCTCAGTATGACACTTCTGAAAGGTTGCTGACCCTTGATCTAAAAGCTAAGATCTGCATCTTTATTTATTTATTAATGAAGCTGCTGTAAGTAGGACTATTATAGACTTTAAAAAGTATCACTAGCACTCGGACCCATACATAGAGATGAATAAGTCAAATCTCAGCACTCCACCTCAGAAAGCTTGCCGATCCCTGCTACAGAGCCTGATCTAGCTCTCACTGAAGTCAAAGGAAAAGTTACCATTGACTTGACTGGACTTTGGATCAGGTCTAAAGACTATCTTGTGTCATCTTAACACAAATAAACAAAGAAAACATTTAAATTGTCTTCTTAAGGCAAGAAGTTGCTATAATCCTTGGCATTCAAAAATGCAGCGATTAAACTATCATATCGGTCTCTTCATTTTAAGATTTTGTATTTGTGGATACATTAAATTCCAATCAAGACATTTTAAAACATTTCAAGTATCAGTCCTACTATCTGCTTCCAACCGTCTGTACTTGAACTCTTTACTACAAACTTTGATGCTTCTTTAGATCAAGAAACCTTCATGTCAGCAGTGTGAAGATCAAAAGGAAAAATTTATGATAACGGTAAACAAATCCATACTTTACCAGATACATCTGAACCCACCCAGGCTATAAGTAGAAAAAAAATCTTGTTTTCAGAAGAATTGTTTTAGCTAGAATTTTGTGTTAATTTTCTCATGTTCTCCTTATCAAAGATGCTTAAATGCATGTCTTATGAGGCAGTGGAATCATATTAAGGAATAAGTAATCTCTCCATGGTAGGGAATAGTTCTTGTTCTCTCTGCCTGGCATAACTGGGTTTAAGCTCTACCATAACATAAGAGCATGATTCCCCAAAGCACTCATGAATAGGTTGAAACAAAGCACTTAAGCATATATTTAAATTTAAGTGTGTGCTTAAGTCCTTTGAAGTCTGTGGGAGTTAAGCATATGCTTTTAGCTAAATAAGTGATTTGCTGAATAAACATGGACTTAAGCTTTAAGCGTTGGCTCAGCAAAGGATTTAAGTGGGCTTTGTTGAATAAGAGCCTAAATTAATACTAATAGTAAGATGAGTCCGTTAATGAAAAAAACCTGAATACTTTAGTTGGGGACAGATTTTAAAAGTATTTAGATGCCTAAGTCCCAGGTACCTAAATACCTTTTAAAATGTCAATGTTAGTGCCTCATCCTGTCCCAATTTAGTCAATGGGACCTCAGTGTGTTTCAGTCACGCCCCATATATCAGTTTAAAGATCAGTTATTTGATTCTGTTTCAGTGGAAATTGAATGACTTTACATTTGCTTATTTTTAACTAACGTCTGTGCTTTTTGGATTGAAACCAGAACACATGGCTTTCCTACTAAATAACCTGATCTACTCCATTAGAAAATCATCTCAACGTTTTGATCTGGAAGATAATGCATGTATATTTGTTTCTTACCATAGCAATAGGGCCCCAATGTTATTCCTTCCCTCTCACTAGCCATGAATGATCAACTATAAATTCTAGTTTTTTCTTAGTCTTATTAATTTCCTGTGAATTACAACTTTGTGATCTGACCAATAACATGTCTATAATCATCTTTCATCTTTTAATGGAACTGAATTTTATTGATGGATGGCTCTTCATATTTAATCAGGTTTGATTTAAATAGTATATGATTTTTTTATACAGCCTTTTGGGATAGATTGCCCTTGCTGTGATAAACCTCATAGGAGAGAGAGATACTAGGGAAGAAACCTATGCAAGATTCCCATAGTATAGTTCCTTCATCTATTGGTGGGGACTTGGGAGGACAAGGATTTGCCCTGCCACCACTATGGGATGAGTACTGTGTCTGCCCTGAGATTCTGGATTTTTTTAATCCTCCCCAGATTATCTATGATGATAGCAGCACTCTACTGCTTGTGCTATCCAGTTAGTCAGACACCCTTACTGGATTAAGTGTGTAGTAAGTTGAGGGTCAGTAACATGGAGTCAGCAGGCCTAAATAGAGGCCTGTAACATGAAAACAGCAACAGGCCTGCAATCTAGTGAGCAAGAATTTGGTTCAGTAACACAGGAGCCAAGAAAGAGGCCCTATTGATAATTGTGTGATTGTGTAAGTTAGGTTGAGCATGGAAGGACACAGGGAGGCACTGGGTACAAACTGTAAGCCAAAGGGGAGTAACAGAACATCTTAATAAGAAATGTCTTGGTACAAAGACTCCCTAAAAACTAATGCACATACAGACCTAGGTTCAGGACCGGGTCGAGATAGACAGCATGAAGGATAATAAGTAAGCCCCCCTTCCATAAGGTGAGGGGTGGTAACTAGGCAACAGAGGGTGGTAACCTGGTACGTAAAGAAATGATGTAAGTTGTTTGTCCCTGTCTATAAAAGGACACCACAGAGGGTGCTCTCCGGCCGACCTGGGGGGAGGAGGGGGTGCACTAGGAGCCTGAACAGCAGATGTCATTGACTAAACTTACAGAATGCACAGTAGCTTAACTTTGACTAACTGCTGTTAATATCTGTTATATAGCAATAGGCCTGTCCGGTGTTGGTACCTTGTGCATAGTGTCCAGTGGTGTAACATTGTACTGATCTCTGTTACCAAATGGTAGAGCTTCGCATTTGACAATAAACCTGCTCAACTGATTTCAAACCTTACCTGCATCTGTCGTTTCCGAGGCCTCTCAGAGATCTCTTCTGTTGACACACGTGCACGGGGGTCTAACACTCTAGATAAAGGGAATACCGATTGTTCCGCACACAGCCAAAAGATTATCATCACTGACGGAGTAGAGGTCCTGTCAGGAGTGCGCCAGGACGACCCTGACCAGACAACGCTGACACTGACAGTCCAGACCACCGAAGCTACCGAGATATGAAGACACCGAGGTATGACACAGTGTAAACTTAAAAAACAACAAATGGTATGGTAGCACTTTATAGATTAACAAAAAATATAGATGATATCATGAGCTTTCGTGGGCACCGCCCACTTCTTCAGATGACCAGAGTTTTGAGTTTAGAATATGCAGACACAAAATAAATAGGGGAGAAGGGAGGAGGGGAAGGAAAAAAAGGAGGGGGACGGGAAACAAGGAGAAGAGGGTATGGAAATATCAAAATAACTAGGCAGAACTGGCAATCTATAAACACCTGAAGATTGGATAATTGAAAAGAAACAGATCAAAGGATAGTAATGGATAGGAAGGATGCTAACGCTAGAATCTACACAGACATAGATCTGTTTGCACCTTCATTGAATGTTAGGTTGATAGTGTCCCAACCATTCCTCATCACTATTGAGGCCATCAGCATGAGAATTGAACTTGCGGATGAATTTTAATTCCAACACCTCTCTGTATATTTGACTTGTAGAATTGGTTTGTGATAAGACGGCCACCTGGAGATCTTTTAAAGAGTGATTAGATAGATTGAAGTGCTGTCCAACAGGTTTTTGTATGTTCCCTTTACATATATCTGATTTGTGTCCATTGATTCTTTCCCGTAGGGACTGTCCAATTTGTCCAATATATATAGCAGTGGGGCAAGTGTAATTAGCTTTACAAAATGAGCCGAGTCATTGTTTGCCCCATCCACATACTCCTGACTGGCTAATACATTCTTCTTGCCAATTAAAATTCCCATTGGCTTTCACATCAGAGAAACCTCCTTGTGATAAATGTTCTCGCTCTTGAGCTGTGATGACCCTATTCCTGTTGATCTTAGAACACTCCTGGATGGGTTTTTTTTTTTAACAGATTTACAGGTAGACAAAAACAGCAGAGTCTTAGTATTCACAGGTAGCAATAAAATCAGTACAATATGCAGCTAAAATTATTTGCAGTGCCGGGGAGAGAGGATTAATCTACTTATTATATAATGTATCTACCCAAACGGCAACCAGCCCCCAAATGTCAAAGCATAGCTCACATTCTTTGTTTAATCAGTAAGTCATGCAGCCAATGAGAGTGTTGCTAAGATTCTGGAAGGTCAACATACTGCTAACTATATACTAGTGCCTCCAGCTATTTGCCTGAACTGTGACACTATTCTTTGGTCTCATTCCCAGAAATCTCCAAGCACTGCTGTAACGCAAATAACAAATAGTAATAATTCCTTATTGGGAAATTCATTAGGCAGTGGAACAACCTTTCAAGGAAACTTATGAAGCATTGCTTGGGACATGTACAACTAAATAGGCAAAGCTGTGGAAAATATTAAAAATACTGAAGATGATTAAAAGCAGCCCATAAAGTAGTTTCTTGCTGCTGACTAAGCAAAAGTGACCAAACTTGTCCAAATACTATGTACGTATATGTTTAATTTCTGTTCTACACCCTGACATCATTATATGCCTACTGTGCTCATATAGAAAGTAGAAAGAAATAAGGAAATAAAACTGAAGCTACATTAATGCAGCCTTGCTTTATTTATTTCTTATATTTATTTCTTATATTTATATTCATCAAAGACTTTATTTAATCCATGATAATCAACTTTAATTATCAAAGCCAGAGTTTGTTTTCTACTGCTGGCTTTGTGTTAAAGAGAGAGTTTGTTGTGAATGCATTACAGGTAAGTCTGTCTTTTCTCAAGTTTCTTGTGCCAGTAATACTTAGTTCTGTTAAGTGCACAGTGATTTCTGTGGTTGGAGACCAAGTTCCGCAGGATATCTCTGTACTTTGGATCCTACATGAAAAAACAAGCTATAAATCAAACAGAAGATTAAATAAGGAAACCAATGTACATGCTAAATTGAAAAAAAAAAGCATTTTTAAAAAAACCACTGACATATAAAAGAGTATGTAAGCCTATACTTTAAATTGCTTCTTTCCTTGGAAGAATTTGTATTATCTGCCCGAAAGAATCTTCTGTTTTTGCAAATACAGTACAATTAATTTACACTGCAGCCAGATTTTCTAATTTATATGCCTAAAGATAGGTATCTAAGTGCTGTGACTTTCAATAGTACTGATAAGCTATACTTCCAATGACTGCAGTGTAAGTCTGAGTGGGTTGGAGCATTTTTCTCTGTGGATAAAGATATGTGTCTTCCTTTAGGCACCCATAGTTGATATTATGAGAAACAGAAAAGCCAAAAATAAGAGGGTGCTCCATTACCTTACATTATCAGGCCCAAACCTGCGTCTTATTCAAAGCCTACTGAAATTACTGAAATGACTTTAATTGGGCTTTTGGGTTAGGTTTTAGTAGTATAGAAATAACAGTGTTTCAGCCTGAAAACGGATGGCTAATATTCATCTGTCATCAGAGGGGAAGCAAAGACAGTGGTAATTTATGCATGGCCAAAATGCATCATGAGGGAGTAGAGCCATCTAGAGATGATATCCTCAAGAGGAATGAAAGCATACTAGGAAGAAAGCAGTATATCAGCATCTTTCAGACATTATTAAGGATTTTCCCTGAAATGCTTGCAGCCGTGTCTGCAGACAGTGTAACTAACAGACGTCTCCCGCAAGAGACTATTACAGGGGTAAGGGAGACAAAGAATAAAGCAGAGTAATAGAAGAGAGCCAATTACTGAAACCACTGAGAAGATATGATAAAACTCAATGGACAGCCAAAGGAATTTGTTTTGAGTAAGTCACTAACCCCATGCCAGGGCTTGTCTAATACTTAGATGAGGTCACAGAGATTACAGTATCTTATGATGAGTCAAGTGTGGAGCCACTGTAGGATCTCTGTTATTACCATAAATTAGTGTATATAACCTGCAGGTTATACACGTTTTTACAACCGCCCCTCCCCCAACGGGGTATACACGTTTATTTTTACTCACGAGGCTTTGGCTGCGTGGAGCCTGGGGGCAAGTGCGGCTCCCCTCCCGCAGACCGGCCAGCGCGCCTGCACTGTGCTCACCATTTCCCCTGCTAATAGCTGTTATGTGCAATCACCGTGAATTAGCATAAAGAACCCGCGGGTTATACTCTTCCGCGGGTTATCTAAGACTTTTTCTACACAATCAGGAAAAGCCATGGGTTATACACAAGTGCAGGTTATACTCGAGTGCGGGTTATATACGCTAAATCACGGTAATACAGAGAGTAAAATATTTAACATCTTTACTTTACCGTTTTCTCTGCTACCATAGAGGCAAATATACCAGAAAATGCCACACAGTTATCAACAAAAATACAATCTGTGTGCAAAAAAATGTCCTTCCTCGCAAGCAATATGGCCCTGGCCCCCTCCTTAAGACCCACTGCCTACAAGAAATTGGCCAGCTAACAATGGACAAGCTGAGGGGCACACTGGTTTCAGTAGGAAAAGCTGGAGGTATGACCAACATATCAGCTATTTATTTTATTTGGTGTCCAGAAGATGTACCCAGCATTGCTCGGGACCTTCAGGAAAGGTGGCTGGCAGTGTGTGTGGGTGAAGGGGGGCAGTTCCAGAGCCAGGGCAGGACCTTGGGCATGAGGGAGGCTCAAAGCAGGGAGCCAGAGGTGTAGAGGAGGGTGGTGCATGTTATGAAAAACAATCCCATTCCAGGCAAATCCCATTTTCCTGGCACTACCAACCCCTGACCTTGTTTTCAGTTAGCAGACGAGGAAGCTGCCAATCAAATTTGACGATTTTAGCTCTTACTATTTAGAAGGAGTTCTTGAATAAACAAACTCACAAACAGATAGACAGACAGTGAGATGCATATTTCTAAAATAGATAGATAGAGTGCATATTTGCTGAGCCAAGCACCAGTGTCTTTAGTCTTCAGCTGGAATTCTCAGGGCCCATGGTGAATTTAGTTAACAGGGACTCTTTAATAAGGTGTATTATTATTGTTTGATCAGTGACTCATCTTCAATTGTTTCAAAGACTTCAGTGGTGCTGGTTGGCTGCACAGAGGCCTTGCCCAGTCCAGAATCAGTTAATCATTGCTCACTGACAACATAGCAGGTCAAACTCAGATGGGAGAACAGTAGGGTCTATAACAAGGAACTTACTGGTGGTTGATGATAAGCACTTGTTTCCCTGAAAGAAGGACTCTGCTGACATGTCCTGGCATGGCAGCCTGGACCACAATAGATGTCATGATGAAGGACATGTAGCTGGTAGACTAACAAGATTGTTGAACAAGAGTAAGCATGGACAAGTTCCTTCTCAAGCAGCTTTTCAGCTGTAATCTCCCATTTGATGTAAGGGGGAGCAATGTGGCTCCGACATGGAAGCCATGGAGGATGAGTCAGTCAGAGAAGGTTCCTGTGATCATGTGCATTGCTCAGTTCAGTTGCACATCAGTAAGTTTGGTGTGTGCTGGCCAAATGAATACTGTGGCATAGTACACCTGCTATTCAGTATGAGAAGGTAAGGTCTGAGGCCTTAGGGTTGCAGTATCCACTCCCCATGAAGATCCTGCCGCTTTGCAGAGAAATTTGTTGCAGTTGTTGATCTTCAGTGCTATTTTGCTTAGGTGACTTGTGTGTGTCAGTTTTCAGCCAAAGTTCATGTCTAATTAAACTAGGTATGTTTCATGTTTCAGCCTTTGTCCATTCATTTTAATTTCTCTTGGAGCATTGGAATGGTGGAGGTGGAATGTGTAGAAATTGCCTTGCTGGTGCTGGAGCTAAGCTGAAGGCACCACATCTTGCCTTGTCAGCTAGTTCTGCAGCATTATCACTCAGGTACTTTTCAAGCTCAGAGAAAGGTGGAGCCTAAGCTGATGTCATCTGCATAGATGAACTTATCTGACTGGTCTGGTGGCAATTCATTGATTTACAGATTGAGAGTAGAATGTATTCCTGGAGTAACACATTCACCTGTTTTTCTAAACACCTGTTTTCTCACCCATGTGTATAGTGAACCTTCTGTTTTGAAGTATCAGTTTGATTACTTCTGTAACCCATCATGGGAGGACTCTTGATATTTTA